GGGATTGACCTCGGGTCCTTGCGCTTGCACAGCAGGCAGAGAAACAACTGAGCTAAATCCCCTGGCTACAGTGCGTTTTTAATAAGCCTTTGGAATATTCTACAGAATTTTCCTAGCAAATTTTAGAAATGTTGGATGTTATGTAATTGTGTTATTATATAATAAGTTTGACAGTTTTTTAGATACTTTGTTGATGACTAGAATTTAGATGGTTAATTTAAATTGCTCTCTTATGCTATTCTACATTCAAATATAGGAACATGAGTGAATAGTAACTTTCAGCCTGGTAGAACTTTGCACAGTGACAAATTGGCCTGTGGCCACAAGTGATAGCTTTTTCTTTACTAATTTAAAAAACAAATTATATTGCCTAAACTATATGTGTTCCCTAAAACAGACAGTTTAGACAATGCTTATGTTGCCTAAAACGTCTAGACATTAGAAATTTTTGTTTAGATTGAAACTTTTGTAACTTAATTTTTTTAATGCTGATACCATAAATATTTTATAATTCTAGAAAATCATGTATACAAAAAAATGTTAAGATAACTGTTGCTACAGGATTTTTTTTGTTGTTTTTGCCAATGTCGGTATTGAACCTAGTCCTTGAGTTGTTTCATTGAACTATGCCCACAGTTCTGCTACAAATTTTTTTTTTTTCTGAGACAGAGTCTTGCTGTGTAGTTCAGGCTGGCCTCGAACTCCTATGTAGTCCAGGCTGGCCTCAAACTAAGAGTGATCCTCCTGCCTCAGCTCCCGAGTGCTAGGATAATGTGTGCCACCAACCCTGCTACTTAAAGGGGCATCAGACAGTTTTTAAAAATTTCTAAAATGATATAATCTGTGTACATGTTCCTTGATACTGTCCTTTTTTAAAAAAATACTCTTCCTCTCTTACACATACATTCAAAAAAGAGAACAAATGAGAAAGACTTGGATTTATCAGTTTTTCAAAGTTTATGTTTTAAAAATTGGAATTTTTTTTGTTTTTCCTTTTTCCTTTTTGTTCTTGGAAATCAGCACAAACAAATTTACCAGTTCAATGAAATGGACAGATTAAAAACACTGATTTTTGTGTGGTCAGTCATGTGCTCTGCTAGTCAGGAACAAGGAATCTGATGACTTGTGCTTTCTCACTTCCGGGTATTAACACCGAGAACTTCAAGTACCTTAACATTTCCTCCAACAACATAGAATGAGGAAGTTCACTAAACTTTTGAATTTTTTATATATTTAATATATTTATGAGAGCAGTACTTTGCTCTATCAAATAGTGAATGTCTTTTATTGACTCTTTTTTTTTTTTGTTACTGGGAATCAAACCCAGAACCTCACGCTTGCTAGGCAGGTGCTGTGCCACTGAGCTACATCCCTGGCCCCTTTTATTTACTCTTGAACAGTTTATTTAAAACAGAAGTCTTCCAAAATTTATTGATTCTACAATATGTATGCATTTGTTAATGGGGATTAATACTATTACGTATACAATGTGTAAGCTTTAATTAGTCCTTAACAGTGACCCTGTGACAGATAACTTATTTAGGAAAAGTGGACAGTTTCATTTATTACTACTCCAGAGAAATAGGAAGACAGTCACTTGAATTTCTGGCGCATGTCCTGGCAACCCAACAGTGCTTCCAGTTGGAGACCACCAAAATAGCACATTTGTTCCTTTGGAGTCTAGAAAAGCAAACGACCCTTTTCATTAAGTGTGCTACTATTCTGGTTGAATTCTGCATTGCCTTAGTGTAATTTATATTTGTGTACAGAATAGTTATACTGGTGCCGCCTGCCTTGAAAGCACAAGGTCCTGAGTTTGATCCCCAGTACCAAAAAAAAAAAGAAAAAAGAAAAAAAAACAGTTAAATTATAATGAATACGTGTATCTTGAAATTTAAATTATAAACACAATGCCCAGAAAAACAATTATGTTCTGGTTAATTTGTCTCTCTTGGTACCAGGAATCGAACTTGGGCGGCGGAACCACTGAGCTAAATCCCCAGCCCTAATTTGTCTCTTTTTAAACTTAGGCTAACTCCCTTATGTTTCAGTGCTTGGTGATATATCATTCTGAAGTGTTTTGATTCCTTTATTATTTTAAGAGATATACTTTATAGTAAGTACAATTTAAATATTCATCAGGACAGGATTTTATACTGTTACAGAGTGTCTAGCCAGCCACTTAGTCACTTAGTAATAGTGACAGTAGTGGAACTGACCGGCCACACCTAGCGTTGCTAACCTGACTGCGTAAGTGATGAGGACTCAGGGTGAGGTTGTGACTTGGCTGTAACAGAAGCATGGATATGGTCATGCTGAAGATCGTTCCTTATTAAGCAGTATTTTATCCTTTTATTCAGGTATTCATTTATCTCCTATTCTGAGGGTAGCATTTTATTCTGTAGACTTGAATAAGAGAATTAGCGTATACTTCAGTATTAAAGTATAAGAGTATATATCAGAGTATATTCTCCTCAAGCCTAATAGGTGATATGAAATAAATACGTAAAATATTTTAGAATCAGAAGACCATATGATTAAGTACCTTGCAAAACCCTTTATAGGATTTAAGAATAAGAGGATTAATGATTACCAACCATTGGTAGAGGCAGCTTTAAGAAATTGCTGCCTGGAGACTGGGTGTGGCTAGCATGTGTGAGACCCTGGGTTCAGTCCCCCAGTACCAAAAAAAAAAAAATTCCTGTCTGAACTCAACTTTGAAGGATGAAAACGTCCTTTCGTTCTACAGAGTTGAAGGCAGAAGGGAGGATGGCGGCCTAAGTGCAGCCCTAGTGGGGATACAGTACAGTGCTAGAAAAGTGGAGATGAAAACGTAGTGTTTTGGGAAGAGAAAAAAATTTGGAGTGATAAATCCCACAGCATATTGAGGTAAATATTGACCTCAGATAATAGAGTGTTGCTGTTTTTCTTGTTAAGCTAAATCACTGATGGCTTATTTATTTGTATATACTGTGTATTTCTTTTATATGAACATCATCAAATAAAAGGCAGAAGTTAGTTGGAAATTTCAATTGACTTTACTTGAAACTATGCTGGGTTTTGTTTCAATGAAGTCTAGAAGAGTATGACCAGATCAGAAACCTCAGTAAATATCTGGATTTGAAGTGTCTTGGATATTTTTCTAATATACATCTTTTTCTTTTTCTTAATGTGTGGTTTAATTTTAGGAAAGCCAGTGAGGGTTTGAAGACCATAAATCCAGATGAGACAGCACCCTCTATGCGTTTGCTGGCCTATGGTGAGTTAGAACTGTGTGGTGTCATTACGAAAAAGAAAATCAGATGTGGCATAAAAGCCATTTTCATCTTTTATATCTTTATAGATGTCAAGCACCATTTTATTACTGCCTTGGCCTATCATTATTTTTCTTGGTTCCTTATATAAAGGGAAGTGATTGCCAGTGACCATTATCTGTATGCCCATTACATATTAACTGTGTTTGAAAGTTAGGATTTTGACACTCTAGTTAACAAATATTTTTTCCTAGTTAATAATTTTGAAGTGATGTAACTATTACTACCATGACATTGGCTGTACTAGGAAGGCTCTTATATTAATGCAGTTATTATCTCTGCATATTGTACTTTCAAAATAATACTTAAATCTTGATTCAAGGCCCCTCAGTTGAGTCAATTCATTCTGGCCCAGGGATCATGCCTTAAAATGTGCGATTATTCCCCCAAGCTCAGTTCCAGTTCTAAGCCAACAAACTTAGCCCTGTAGACTCTGTTCAATCATAATGCAAGCCAGAGCTTCACTGTTGTATCCTCTTCCGACTCATCTATTTCTCCTGCTTTTTAAATTTCTCTGCTGCGTTCCATTGTTCATTTTCTTTTCTCTTCTTCCTCCTGTTTGCTCATCATTTAGCTATCCATACACCTTTCCAGAATCAGTTGTCTTCTGCTCAGCAACAGCATGTGTCCATTCCCTTTCAACAAAATAGTATTCCTAGTCCTTAGAAATTTGATTCGAAGAGAAATCATAGCAGGAAAGAGGTTTAACAATGTTTTCTTCCTCTTTAGTTTCTGGCTTGGGCTTTGGAATCATGAGTGGAGTATTTTCCTTTGTGAATACCTTGTCTAACTCCTTGGGGCCAGGCACAGTGGGAATTCATGGAGATTCCCCTCAGTTCTTCCTCAATTCAGGTATGTTTCTGGTAGCTGGGAATGTTCAGGCTTCTACTCTAAATGATTCGTCCTTAATGAAGTTCACTGTCTTAGGAATTTGTGTCAATAGGACTTTATATTATGCCTTTAAAGGCAAGTTGCTCTTAGGCATTCTAACGTGAAGGACCTAGGAAAATAAAAATTTTGCTGAGAGTGTTTTAGAATTTGGGAGTACAATTTAGCTTGCATAATATTTACTTTTTATTGTGCTGTATTAGCAATGTTACTGTATTGTTGAATTATTAGAAGTTCATTTTTATAAGCTATATGTTCTTTTCAGTTTTTATGATACTATGTCTTCAATACAAGTCCTGATCTTTAATTTGTAACTTATAATTTAATCTTGAAATTGAGAGGAAAAGACTAATTAATGAATTGATCTTTTTATCCAAAGATAGCATATGAAAGGGCAAGGCGTTTCAAATTACTGTTTCGTGCGGCCAGGGATTTAGCTCAGTGGTTTCGCTGCCTGCTGCGCAAGCGCAAGAACCCGAGTTCGATCCCTAATACCAAAAAAAAAAAATGACTGTTTCATTTATCAGCTAAAAATTGTCATCAGATTGCAGTGAGCACACATTTGACTTAGTAATATGTATAAATCATATAAGATTTCTCCTAAGTTCCACACGAAGAGACTTCTAAAAATAGAAGGAAAAAAATCCACTGCATTTTTAGTTATCTCTGCAGCAGTTACACCACTGAAATAAGTGACTCACACCTGTTCTTCTTGTTGTTTTGTTTTGTTTGTTTTTTGAGACAGGGTCTCACTGTGTAGTTCAGGGTGGCCTCGAACTCACACTGATACTCCTGCCTCAGCCTCCCCAGAGCTGGGATTACAGGTGTGTGCCACCATACCCAGCTGTTCTTTCAATTACATCATTATTAACATCTGTGCTAAAGCCACTGAAGGAGCTTGCCCTGTAGTGGAGGGAGACAAAAGAAGTGAATACTTACAAGCATTTCAGGAGTTTAAATAATAAAAAAAGTGTGAAGAGGAATGACCAATTTAAAAAAGAAAATTGCTGCAGCTGGGAGACATCCTACATGTTGTAGTGATGTCTAAACCCAGTGGATATTCCTGCTCCATTCTCAGGTGACCTTTGTTTCTCTTCAGCTCAGCCTTGGCATCTCCTGTCTGGATTACTGCCATTATTCCACAGCTGGTTACACTTTCCTTGATGCACTTTGCATGTGGATCCATCCTGTATGTAGCCACCAAATTAGTCTTCCATTGCAAAAGTTCTCAGAAGCTCTTTCTGTTGTCGATACAAATTAAAAATCAAGGCCCTTTAACTCTGGCTACAAGTTAGAGGACAGAGAACTGTGTTAATGGGCCATTCTTATTTAGTGATGCCTAATTTAACATAGTAAATTATCTTCCTTGTAGGTATTCTATAATGGCAATGGAAGCCTTGCTGGAAATGTCCCATAACTGGAATATTCCTGGCAAATCTGTTTATGATTATATGGAAAGTTAGGTTTTTAAAACAAATATAGTAGTAATAAATTCTGTTAGAGTCCAGTATAAATTAATAAATCAGCCATGTGAGGCATGCTGCTGCAATTTTGTGAACTTTCATACAGTCTCTTACCTTGCTAAAAAATTACTTTTTTCCATCTTCCAATTTCTCCAGCTTCTTCCAGTAGATGGTGCTAAGTCCCTTTGGTGAACTAAGTTGTTTTCAAAAGACCAGTTTAAAATTACTCCCTCAATTACTTGCCTTGCCTGTCGGATTCATTCTGTTGGGGTTCATGGAGTTGTCCTCGTTATCTCTTTCTAGAATGCCCTTTGGGACGTTTTGGAGTGGTAGTTTGGTGGTCATGAATTTCTTCAGGGTTCTTGGTCATGGAAGTATCTTGTTTATCAGCTTTGAAAGTTAGTTTTGCAGGGTACATCAATCGGGGTCCTACTCTTTTTCTTGTCCCTTCCTTTTCCCCTCCCCTTCCCTTGTTTCCCTGCGCATTTGAACCTTTTCTTCCCATTTCCCAATATCTGTTAAACATTTTGGCCCTTTTTGCACTTTCAGTTTCTCACACCAGAGAAACAATGTGGTATTTAAACATGTGTGTCTGATTTATTTCACTTAGGAATAATGGTCTCAAGGTGTATCTGTTTAGCTAAAAATATCTCAAGCTTATCCTTCTTTATGGCAGAGTAGTACTCCATTGTATTTTTAAAAACCACACATACTTGATCTGTTCATCAGTTGATGGGCATTTGGGCTGTTTCCAAGATTTAGATATTATAAACTATCGCTATAAACATGAGTGTGCATATATCACTGTGGTATGATGCTTTTAATTCTTTCAGGAAGATACCAAGAAGGAGAATAGCTGGGTCAAATGACCTCTAGTTTTAGTTTTTTTGGGAATCCCCACACTGATTTCCACAGTGGCTGCACCAGTCTACACTCTCACAAATAGTGGAGAAGGGTTTCTTCTTCCTCACAATCCTGGCAGCATTTATTAATGGTTTATTTCTTGATAAAAGCCATTCTTTTTGGAGTGAGATGGAATCTCAGTATTGTTTTACTTTGGATCTCTCAGTGTAAAATTACTCTTTTAGAAGAGAGTAAAAGAGTTGTAGCATTTTGGGGGTTGTATTGTAACTTCTATGAATTCAAGGAAAAATTCATTATTCAGTCAGATTTTTTTTTTTTTCAGTCAGATTTCTTAATGTTTTTGTTTTGTTTTTGGTACCAGGGATCGAACTCAGGTCCTTGCGCTTGCACAGCAGGTGGCGAAACCACTGAGCTAAATACCCGGCCCTCTTAATGTCTTTAAGTCAAGATAGCAGACTGAGCATGATGTGAATATGTACTTGTAGAATGAAATAACAGTTATTTTATCATATGTAAGTTTCTTCTTATTACACCATCATTCTTTTTTGTTTTGTTTTGAGACAGAGTCTCGCTGTGTAGTTCAGGCCAGCCTTGAACTCACCATGTAGCCCAGGCTGGCCTCAAACTTGCAGTGATCTTCCTGCCTCAGTGTACCCAGTGCTGGGATTATAGGTGTGTGCTGCCATGCCTGGTCCAACATCATTCTTTGAAGCATAAGCTTTGAATTATACATTTAACAAATTTTTATTTAAAGAATAACCCAAAATTTATATATATGTGTATTTATGTTAGATATTATTCGTAACAGCTGTTATTACCATTTATTTAGACACAAGCCCATTTTTAATTTTGCAGTTAAATTTATATAATTAACATATTCCATCATAAATGCCTGAATAAGAATCAGAATAAGGAGTATAGGGTCACCAAATAAGTGTATCATCTATGTTAGTGTGATTTAATAAACATAAGTTTTTATGTTACAGACAGGCATGGTTTATAAATAATGTATATGGCTGAATTAATTCTTTTTTATTTGTAGTTGAGAAACAGACTAGTGTTAAGTTACTAGAATCATTGCCATTTCTTAGATATACAGTACGTAGATGAAAGTATGGAAATTAAAATCTGAAAATGTTCTCCTGGCTGGCTAATTTAGTGTTTAGAGCAAGTCTGTTTGGTTATTTAACTACTCATTCCACAAATAATTATTAAGATTTTTATTCAGTAGGAATTATACCAAGGTATGAAAATACAAGTCAGTTAATGTCCATATCTTCTACCCATAGTGAGGAATAAAGACAAACAGCATAATAAGTGTGACAGTGAGGAGTAGATGCACTAACTTTGCCTTTGTTACATTTACCACAGTTGTGATTAACTGGCTAATGATGTAATTAGTTGTTTGATGTCTCTCCAGTTATGTACTAACCCATGTAAGTACCAGTACCTCTGTTCACTGTAGTGTTCCCAGCACCTTGTGGAGTCCTTCTTTCTGGATGACACTCAAATGTTTACTGAAAAATGAGAGCAAAGCACAGGTTATGGAGGAAGTGTCATTGAGTAGAGATTTACTTAAAGATAAACATTAGCTAGGCAGACAAAGAAAGGAGATAGGCCCCTTCCCTAAAGGCTGGAAGGAAAGAGAGACAATGTTCACTGGGCAAAGAAAGTATAGTACTTCCATCTGATTCTCAAATTCCTTATCTTTTGGGAAGGGTAAAAATAATGCCTAGCTCAGAATTGTTAAGAATTAAATGAAATTAGATATTTATATTTAAGTGCTTTATAAACTCTAACGTGGCCTAAAAATATAATTTAGGTAGAGAATTTGGTTCTTGGTGATTACAGAACAGAATTTAGAGAGGGGAATCTGGGTTTTTCACTCTGAGTGACCTCTCTTACACTTAGAAAAATAACTTTATTATGCAGGGAAAAAGAATTGCTGATATTTTTTAAACTTCCCCAAGCATTTCATTTCTGTTTTCTGGGCAGTGCTCTTATTTAGGTAATGTTTAAAACTTTAGCCACTATTGCTAAACCCACTAAAGCCACTAGGCAAAATCAGTGCAAAATCAACCCTCATGTGGAGGGTTGTGTTCATTTGTGAGCATTGTGATTTAACAGATGTGCTGGAGAAGTACAATTCACATAGATGAAAGTTGTTGGTACTGTGAAAGACCTAGGAGCTGTGTCCTATTGGATATTATGGAAGAAAAAGGAGTATTGAGTTTGAAGAAAGATAAAAAAGGAATGTTGGAGATTCACTCTTTATTTCAGTTTGTCATTTCTTGTCATAAAATTATATACCCACACCCTTGCAAAGCCTTGTGGTGGTCAAAATGTACTTTCCTGCCCCTTGACTTTGAGCTCAGTCCTGAGACTTGAATTTCTCAGTTAATGGACTTGATAAAACTCAGAGGCTTAAACAGCACTGAAATGATTGGAGCTCCATTATTGCACCTGGGTCACATGCCATGAGAAGAACTTGCGCTGCATAGCTAATGCCCATTTAGCCTGGACCTTGAATGAACACACAGCGCACTCAGCCCAGCCTGCTGGGAGGAGCCAAATCTGGCAGCTGCAGCAGGGCTGGCAGCTGAGCATAGCCTTCATAGCCAAAGTGCAGTCAGTATA